GTGTGTGTGTGTGTGTGTGTGTGTGTGTGTGTGTGTGTGTGTGTGTGTGTGCGCGTGTGTGTGTGTGTGTGAGCTCTCGTGAGTTTATGGTGCTTTTGCAAACGTATAATTAGGTAGCGTAAACACGGCACGTAAGCAGACTCGCGGCCTCCCAAGCGTGCGATTTCGGAGAAATGGGGGTAATTCAGATCTCTGTTCCTTTGCTCTTTTGCTATAAAACACCAAATGCTGAACATTTTGAAAAGCTTCAGATTTTCTCCGTTACAATAGTGTGAGTTGTTTTTATATCCGAGTATTTGGAGCTGGAGCATCGCGTGGAAAGGGAAGCCCCTTGGGGTCGGAATGCGAGGTCGGCAGGTTCAACATTGAAACCCATGCATTCGAATGCTTTCAGTTTGCTTCTCATTGGCGGAGAACTCTACAGCTTTGAGCGTAGTTTCCCGTGGTTATGATTTTTGGTCTTCGGCGTTTTGGATAGAAAACAAAAACAGTTCTTTTTCTATTAGAATAAAGTCATTGGTTTGGAAGTATTTGGCATGAATCCTTCGGCGAAACTCCAAGGAGAACTCAGGATACTACAGTATTGAGTCGACTCGCTCGACGCGGGGACCGGTGCGGCGCCGGACGAGACAACGCTCTGTGTTTTTATTCAAACCACGACAGATCATCGTGTTTGAGGCAATAGAATACTGATTTGTAATGATCTTACTGTCTCGAAAAAAAAATTAGACTTCATTTCTTTGTTATACTGATTGTACACTGTTAATGTAGAGATGTTTGGTGATCTTAGTACTCTTTCACTATCTATTAATCTTGGGAATGCAGCCAGTTAGCGACTTCAGCAATATTTGATTATTATGTTAAATTGAAACAGCTGTCATTCTCTTAAACACCGACTGAGAGGTAAAAGCATGGTATCAAAATTCTCAGGAGACATAGGCCTTTCATATGAAACAGACGAATTTGACTTACAGCTACTTTGGAAATTTAGTATCTGGTGAAGTCCATTCTCGCGAAAAATGTTGTCTATAACTTTTATTTCTGTAAATGAATAGTTTTCTACTTCCGTATATTACCTTGTAGTGGTATAGCCAAGATAACTGCTAAATTTCAAGTCTCTATCTCAATTCTAAGACACCTGTTGCTTACGAAACATGTAGCTCAACTTAGGAGGCCATTTTCTCCTTTTCGTGTTTCCTCACCTCGCACAATTTGAAGTTCCGTATTTTCGTCAAATATGGTCATATTTACTTCTTTCTTCTTTTGAATTGTAGGGAAACGGCGATAGTCTTTTAAGAAAATGTTAACTCAGTTCTGAAATTTCCTTCATATGACTAATATTGACCGGTAGGGTCACATTATATATATA